ATGTCAAATCTTCAAAATATTGGAATTTTTGAAGGGATTTGTTTTGGGGCGTTACGTTTTCAAAGAATTTTTCATGTCCTGGCAAATCGGGCACATATAGAAAAGTAGTAGCTGCCGCACGCATAACGGACGTGATGTTGAATTAATAAAAAATTCAACTTTTGTTGTGCGTGTCCTCAGGACTGCTTTTGGGTGGGTCGCTTTTTCGAACACATTGTTTTCCGCCAGCAAAAAGAGGAAATGCATAAGGCTGTAACTAGATGGCATGGAGTTCCCTGAGTCAACATTTCATAAGATATATAATTTTCGTTAAAACCCATCAGACCACTTTTTTTCAGTCCCATTTTCCTGATTTTCTTTTTGATCCATCAAAACAAAGTCAGAAATTTTAAACTTCCCTCAGAAGTACCTCTTTAATGGCTGAGTACAAGAAAAATCCTACATTTCAAATATGTTCCATTAGCGTAGATTATAGTAAGGGAGGGATTTGAAAATCCTTTCTCCACACTTACAAATAGGGACACATGAAAAGATTTTAAGTTAGGCACATTAGATATAATAGAAGGTTCATTTTGATAAAAATAAAAAACTTTCGTCCCCATATGTCACGTATTTCAATTGGGACGTACTTAAAACACATGTTTCCCATTTCGCAAAAAAAGATAATGAATTAATCACTAACCAAGGTAATGGAGCGCCGAAGGCGCGACCATATTGAGTTTGTCATAATACCAATGTAGTCAACAATAGGCTTTTCTAAATCATGCTCTCATGTCGCAGATTTGCATGAGAAGGGCCTTATTCATAGCTTGTAAGCGACTTCGACGGATTTTGGGACTATACGCTGAGAAACAACAATGCTGCAGGTTAGAGCACAATAAGAAAATGAATTTCCAGCGAGTTCCGTATCGAAGCAATCGAGTGAGGTACGTCGTTCGAATTTCGAACATCTGGTGTTTGTATGAGTTAGGTTATCATGCAGGATATCATATAGTGGTAGCACATCTGTCCGACAATCAGAAGGTCCGCTTTCAATTCCCCGGCATTCCTTGGCTAAACTGGAATATTTTTTATCATTGCTTGGACCAAAAACTGAAAAAAAAACGGGAAAAAGGTCGTTCCCTATGTTTTTGTCTTATTGGATATGTTTAACCTAATAGCGCCAGAACCGACTAGAGCCTCGCAAAGAATGTCATTGTAGAAGGCCAGTGTCGAAGAGCTGAGGATAAAAAGGATAAGAAAGGTTTTTAGTCCGAGCGTTCGATCGTGCTCCTTCTCGAACTTTAGACCTTTCAATAATACTAGTACGTAGAAGTCGTTGCAAAAATTTTGACGTGCTCTCTTCTATTTCATGAACTCCAATGAATCTCGAAGAGCGGCGTGTTTTTTTGTCTACAGTATAGAAGATTGTGACTGACGTTTATTCTATTCTTGTTCTAGATGAGCTAGAAATCTGAAACTTGGTACATAGGTACCCCTTGGGATGCTGAGTTTAAAAAAAATGTCAGGCTCCGAAAGTACATGCCCTGGGCGCAAATGTTTTTAAATAAAATTTTCGCATTCAGTCATATGTAGAGACCTGGAAATCGGAAACTTCCCAGGTTGCCAACCATGACTGGGCCAAGTAAGGCATATACATGGCAAAATAACATGGACTCAATGAGGCAGCCAGACATCGGCCATATGAGAAATGTCAACAATGGTCGAGGCTCGGCCATACCTCTGGAACTATTACGGACCCAACTTTTGGGACTAATATGACCCATTAGGTGAGGAAATTATGGGGTTGACACCCTAGCAGCATTTCAAATTTCATGGGATATAAAACCATTGTCATCTTCTTGTGCAATAAATGTGAATTTGATTTTCACTTTCAACATCTATTATATATATAAGAAATGTTTACTCTTATGATACGAGACATATATAGAAGTCCCCATACTCTTTATAGCCATCAGCATTTTTCAAACTAAAGGGTTCTCTTTTAAATATCATGGACACCACCTTGAAGACTCTCTTGGAATTCATTGTTAATATTTCGTTTCCTTTCCTTTGTGTGACTAATAAAATCTTAGTTTTCCATTCCACTTTATGTAAGTTGAATGATGTATAAAAATTCAAAATTGCCAAACTAAGGAAACTGGGACTGGATAGGATATATTTAACCTTCCTATTCTGTTCCCATTTTAAGTACACCAATTACGTTTGGGTTACCCTGACCCGATATACGTTTCCTATGGTTTCAATAGGAATTCTATTGAGTTTTTTTTCTGCTTCGTGATTTCTTATAGTAAAGGTATCAATCACACATGTGTTCATTATTTTATGTTTGCATATGTTTGCATACGTAATTATTGTTACCACTGAGTTAATTCCAAAATGTTGCAACAAAAACGGATTTCCAAAATTGTCAATTGCAACAAACCTTTATATATTATTGACTTTGCAAGGTGCATAAAACGTACTTGTGCTCAAATTGCAAATATTTTTTCTACGCGATGTACAGTTGATGCTTATTTTGCTGTCATATGCGGAAGGACAAAAAGTACATCCGGCTCTTTTTTGCTGTATGTTGCACTGTCCTACATAGGAGCTCGAGTCATTGCATGGTCTAGGCAGTCGCGCAGAAATGACGACGGTAGCAGAGGACGGTATGCGTGTATAATATTCTCTTGTCTCTAGCAATGGGCAAAACCATGAACTGTATGCCCAATTCTACCAGGAACAATCTCCTTTTGAAGAGCTTGTTCTAGTGCTATCCCGGATTTATTGCAGTCCACAGCGCATATGCTTTGTAGGCCGAGGTGTCCAACATATAATATACCCAAAATAAATGTTACAAGGTAATGTAGGGCTCGCCCGCGTAGTAGGAGTTGTGATGGCATTACATCTGTCTTTTGCTGAACAAGTCAACACCTCTTGAACATTATTAGCATGTGCTCGCTAACCTTTGAGTGCTGTGCATGTGCCACGTCAGGAAAATGTCTAATTAGGTTTTCTCAAAGTCATATGTAAAGTTCAGATTCCCATAGACAAAAAAGGGTTGATTCCATCGTGTATTTCATACCGTCTCTGAAAAACATGAGAGACATGCCAAGGCAAACGCAGCAACAGAAGGACGGAGAGAAGAAGATGCTCCGAGAGGGTGTAATGCAACAAGAAGTCACGCGGCGACCCGGATGGGCTCTTGTAGCCGAAACCAGATTGAATCCGCACTTTCCCAAAACTGGCAGAACACTTGACTAGAAGAAGATGCTCCGAGAGGGTGTAATGCAACAAGAAGTCACGCGGCGACCCGGATGGGCTCTTGTAGCCGAAACCAGATTGAATCCGCACTTTCCCAAAACTGGCAGAACACTTGACTGAGAATCACTACCTTTCTCAACAGCAAGTGCTCCGGAAGCTTGTTTCGAGAAGGTTCAAGATAGTGTAACCCGTGTTGAAAATGCACTAGTTTGGCAATCGGGTCAAATAGACCCGAGCATAACAGGAGGGGGTATCACAAATATTTCAGCAATGCTTCATGGAAATGAGTTCGGCTTTGAGGTCGTAAATATATTCAAAAAGTTAGGAAAAGTAAAAAAAATTCAGGTTTTTTCGATGAAATGCATCGAAGTTACATCGGGTTGAATGAGTGTTTCGGGTCAAATAGACCCGAACAGAATAGGAAGGTTAAAGATTCATGAATTACTGGTAACATTATATACGTTCGGATCAGTTTGTTAAATCTGAAACACGCAACCGAGGAGCTCCACGTGTACCATTTCCATCAGGCAGAGCCAGACCAAAACCAAGAAGTCTCACTCTTCAGAATTCCGCGGAAAAATTGGAGACTTACGGTGTCCAAGTCCTGATATTCATCCCAGGCCATTCTGCCCCCCTTGGCCGCCGTCTTTTGGCTTTCTACCACACTGAAAGGGAAATGGATTGTCACGATAGAAGAAGAAAAGAAACAATTATTTCAATAATTATTATTCAACCAAATATGGAGAGAAATATTGCTTGGGACTTTCCAGAGGATAAAGGTCCATCCCGTTTGCATTTTCCGAATCAGTGAAGGGATTTGAAATCCGTATCATTGAAATCAGTTCGTAAATTGACATCATTTTCGAATTTGAAAAAGTAATTATGTATGGCGTAACGGAAGTCGACAAATAAGTGAAATTAAAAGACATGAAGAAAACCGCATTGGTACTCTCTCTGTCGACCGTGGAAGGAATGGGTGATGATTTCCTCCTGTTTGCCATGGCCTTCGTCCGTTTCAAGTTCCGGCGCCAGGCAAAGGCCAAAGAATATTCAAATTCTTCCCCTCATGAACGGGGAAATTGAGGAACGAATAAACGCTGGCATGTTTCATGTTTTCTTAACTACTTGTGAACATTCGTGCCCGAAAAAGACCTTTAATGGCGGATTTCAAATCTAAATTGCGCCTGGTGTTAGCTCAGACCAAAGTTAATGTAAAGGTCAAAGATTAAGGCCAATAGTTCCATCCAGCGTTCATTGCTGATGATTCCTTTGTTTCTACAGAGAACGCCCGAACGAAACACTCATCCTCCAGGTGGATTTTGAACCAGGTGGATGTCCCACAACCGCAGCCATGGATCTTGCCTGTTCTGACCATCGACGCGATCGTTCTGACCATCATGACAGACCACTACTCAATTTGGTAAGATGAAAGGTTTTCTTTTGTTTCTGTATACCCATTGCGGTGCATGTTAAAAACTTGCCCAATTCATTAATTTTAAAACTGGAATCCAGGAACTGAACTATTTCCTCGACCTTCCCCCCCTGTCCGCTCTCAGCTTGGCATTAATTAAATGGAAAAATTCCGTTCATGTTTTTCTGATATTGTCTGGTCCTCAGCCAAATCCTCCAAAATAGTATTCTGTAGCTAATTACTGGCTCATGTTTCATACGGTAAAGATTCAAACTTCAAGAACGGTATACGAAAGTCATATAACTCTCCCCATCCTTGAACTGGAAACTTAATACTTTTCAAATTAAGAAAATACAGATGACCTTTGGACGTCGGGAATGATGACTTGAGCGTGGAAACCGTCTCGTCGGAGTTCACTGAGAATATCACCCTGATCCTCCGGACCGACCATGAAGTCCACAGGGGAATCCACCTTGGATGGCTCCCTCCAGAAATCCAGCTGCAGGACGTCAACCGATTCAATTTCTTCCCATCCGCGAACCGCACGTAACCGGCGAGACTCACCTCGGAGTGGGAGAGTCGGAATTTTCGGATGGCATCCAAGGATGCCAGATCGTGGGGGACGACTCGGACGACGGAATGGTTGTGGAATCTCCTTTCTTCTGTCTGGTGGCAGAAACCCACGATGAGGAATCCCAGGAAGAGGAATGCTTTTCTGCATGAGATTTTCCTGCAACAGGCGGGCGTCAGGCAGCTTATGCTTCAGTTATCCTGAAGCCGGTGTCGAATGAGATTAGTTGCGTGGAAGGGGGAGTCGCACAAGCTTTACCTTTCCCACGACATGCCTGTGTTTTTCGATTTGCAAATTCTTAAAAATCTCTGGTTACGTTTCAAATTCACACATGTATTAAGTTCGTTTTCGGAATCGGTTTTCAATGCGGTAAATCTTAAATGAACAAACTCGCTATCGACGAGCTCGCACCTGGCATCGACGCTCTATGATCCAGTAATTAACCAATGCATTGGAATCATCTGTTTTCGAAGTCCACCGCTAATAACCCCTTATTAACCACCCAGTCAAACCCCTAGGTTAACGGCTTTGACAAACATCGCGCCTTCGACGCTCGCACTGTAAATAAGCCTTTATTTGAAACATTTAAAGCAATGTCATATTAACTTCCAGTATGAAGATCACGATGTAAACATTCTGTGCGTCATTAAGTGTTTCTATATTGAATATAATTTCTGCCTGTGGTCGTTACACTCTTTTAATTGTATACACGTCTCCAAAAACAAATAGAAGTAGACATAAAAGCACATTACGTAAACGTTTTAATGCAATAATCATTTGAGGACAATGGAGAGTTTCGTGGTTATATTCATATCTATATTCGTGCTCCAGGACTCTTAAGTTCCCTTTGGAAATTCTTCCAAGGCTACATACCGTTGTCCATGAGAAAGTGAGTTATTTCCGTAAATGCAGTGCATAGCATAATGTTCTGGATTCGATGAAGGAAATGTATGCATAGAAGTGGCATTGGCCTAAACGTCCGTACATGGATTGGGCATAGCCCTTCTAAATCGCAATGTTGAGAGAAAATCTTTCAGTGTCCCTTCTATTATTATAGTCTATAATATAACCTAATCACTTATCGAAGCGTATCGGTACGCCACAACTCGTGTCCTTCCACCGAACCTATGACGAAGAACGGCATGGGGTTGGAGGAATCGCGACTCAGGCTAAGGCTGCAGGATTCTCGGTCAGATATGCCGAAAAGTTCCTGGACGGGTCAAGATTGTTGAGGGCCTGGGCGTCTGTCCGAGGGTTAGATATAGGCCTGCTAAGTCAGTCCCCTCAGGAAATACACCTTCGAAGTCCAACTTCACCCATAGTACGCAATCCAACAGCGTTCCCTTCCGCTTTCTCGAAGGTAACAATTGCATGAAAGTGACATTAACCTAAACTTTCATCCATGGGTTTGGTCATGGCCATTCAAAGCAGTCTTCTTCAAAAGAGGCTCCAAGGGCATTTTCACCAATAGTCGTAATATTTCTTGAGTCATCAAGCTAACTGGTATCCGTTTACCACGTTTCAGCCTCTCATCATGTCTAGAACCTGCTTAGAATTAGCGTCAGTCATTCGCGATCGTCCATACAGCATATAACAGTATTAGTAATATCTTACTTTTATTCCTTTACCTCCTCATTCACGATGAGGAAAAGACCTTACACACTCGACTGTATCAGAAAAGTTTACTGCACTGGCTTAGATGCTCTAGTGAAGCAGATGGAGAAAGATCAATTCCTACGTTTTTTCTTCATGCCAGAAAAAAAGGAATAACAATGAAAGAATATTCGTACATTTTCGAAGCGGGTGGCTCTGCCTTGTGTCGCTATCTCGGTGCAGGTGAACGAGATAAGTTCTGTGATTCGCGATTGCTTTTCCGTACTTGAAGCTTGCGTTTCTTATCGGAGCGACATTTGGGCTTTTTCCGACACTGTTAAGAGTTTTCGGAAATTTCCCATTCTACGTCCTAAAATTTTCCGACTAAGAGCATGTGAACCTGGATTTCCAGGAATACCTTGAACAAAATATAGGGCATTTCCTTGGAAATTCCACCCTGTGCTGTTCGCAGAATTGTCTTCATTTTTCAGAGATATAAATTCGCAAAAATTTAACTGCCGTGGAAACCAGAATAGGAAAGCGTGGTCGCCTGAGTCATCCCGAGCCTCAAGACTGCTACACGGTATATTTACACGAATATTTTTCACATCATGAATATTATGCTATATCACGAATAGTCTCGTTCTCAATGCCATTGAGCACACATTCTCTGCACCCCAATAGCACGAGTATGTCTTGAAGACATCTTAATACTGTCTTCATGAAGAAATAAGACATCTCAAAGACGTCTTGAATGCCTGCAAATGTCCCCTTCCAAAGATGTCTTCATTTGTTACTTTGAAAGCAAATCAGAGATGTATTGAAGATGACTCATTCTTTTCCCGGTGCATCCAGTGCAGGCCTTTATATACCAACATCCATTACTTTCTTCTGGCCCAAAAAGCAAGTGCTTTCTCAATGGATTAGGGTGATTGTGACAATCTTGAATGAATGAACCATGAAAGAGGTGCAATGCCTTTTATTTCCTCCGCAACAATCTGAAATTGAAATTCTGAATTAATTTATTTTGGCAACTGCAACCATTAACAAACTGGAACGGTGATCACTGATGACTTCTGGGTTAAACTTACCAGAGGCGAAAAACACAACATCTTGTCAATTTCAATCCCATAGGAGGGTACAGACGCATTTGCGAAATGCTAAATTCATAGCTCAGGTGTTCATCTAGGTTTCAGCTTCATCTTCATTTCCATCATCTTCATCTTGGAAAGCAGAACTTATCTTCTTAGCTTGCTCTCTGCAGCATGGAAAGAGATTACTCCTATTTTGAATCCACTCCACAGGAATGAATAGATCAGATCGCCTTCCTCACTTAAGAGAATGATTCCCATATGACTTAACTCAAAACAGAACAAGGTTTGTTCACCAAAACATTAAAACTTACTTTGTCCACTCTGCAGGTGCATTCCTTAGCTACGTTGGTCTGCATTTTATAGGTACTGGTGTAGCAAGCTTCAGATTTCTGACTTCTCATGAACAATGTCACAATTAGCATCTCTCAGGCAGGATCGTCTATGTATACTAGATGAAGTCATGAGAAAACCAATTTTTCAATGGCTTTCCCTTTCTTCAACCACAGTCTCTCTATGGAACTCACTAATTTTAGGGCTAGGCCTAAAACCAACAGATTGCCTTCAGGTGACGCCAAGACCTACCTTTTTCTCTCCAATAAGAACTCAATTCTCGACTTACGGGGCTAATAAAACCCATGGGGGTGAAACCGTGGTCTTTGAGACATCTCGTTGAGGACGTGTAACGTTAGGCCAATCGCTGGCCTATTTATACGTTCTCGAACCATTTCAGAAAGAGTTCAACATTACCCCATTTTGTGACCTGTTTCGCGTTTCATGAACCATTTCAGTGGGCCGTAGAGCGTTAGGCCTACCTGGAGTTCCTCGAACCATCTGGAATAGGTCTGAGGGGAGGATGCCTCAAGAAGCATGCAATCCATGGTACGCGCCATCTTGTTAATTCAAGGATGTCCGGAAAATATCTGAATATCCCACCAAATCAATCATTCAATCTTATCCACCGCATCATTCTCAGGCCTACCTATGAACTCAGCACAAAAATGTCTCATACATTAAAAAACAAGATTCATACGACATTATGAAGGCTGAAAGAATCTTGAATCTGGCAACACTGGGGGAGGTACCGGAGTTAGCACTATAAGCCTAATTGAACGACAGCTAATTTTATTTTTATGACGAAATGGAGCAACACAAACAACAAAACGGCCACTTTTCGTAATATACGAGTCAATATATTTTTATTACAGTTGGCCCCTTTCCTCCGAAACTACCCCAGGGGAAGGGGAGAAAAAATAAACAGAATGAAATTCACTAATGAGATTCCTCCAAAAACGAGATTCAGTATCCTCCACAACCCCGGGGAGATAAAGATTCAAATTTTATGGAGCTAATCTGTGGTGAGAGAAGAAGAAGTAAGGCAAATTTCGCTACTGCGGATTCTTTTAGGGGAAATACAAGGAGGTTGAATTTGCTGTTGTAAGGGGTTGAAGAAAGGTAATAGGCGCTACCAAAGTCTATTGAAACTTTGCCTCTTGTATGTGGAGTTCGGTTTACGCTCCAAGGGTCACCGGGTGGCATACGGACAAGGAAACACATTAGTTACGGCTTTTGTCATGATCAATAAGCAACCCAGTGAGCTACAAGGCACTCGCTGAACTTCACAAACAAGCGCAAAAATTTCCTATGTTGCGTTTAAATACGAACACCATGTATAAGTCACCCATTCACATCTACAAGTGCACCGGTACGCATGAATCCTTGTCCTTCCACCAATCCTATCGCCTAGAAAGTCATAGGCAAAAAGGTTCTGTGTTCTGCGACTCGGGCGGAGGTAGCAGGGTTCATGGTCAAATATATCGAAAAGTTCATGGATGCTAATGGGTCAAGGTTAGTCTACGTGTGAGCGTCTGTCCTACGGTTAATTATGGCCCCGCTAAGACTGCCCCCTCAGGCCATGCACCTTCAAAATCGAACTTCATCTGTTGTACGCAATCCTATAGCAACTTGTCTTTTTTTTCCCTCTTCCTTACAGGAAGACAGGGTATGATAGTGGTAGTAGCCTAAGCTTCCAGCTGTGAATGGGACCAGGGGCCGTATTCAATATTGGTCTTATCTCAGTCTCCCATGCTTTGACTTGAGCAGACTACTAACTTTTGGCCGCTAAGCACCCTACTTGGATGGATAACCCAATTCAATAACATTCTTAAGCATAGCATGTAGCTAAAGTAGGGTGCTCAAATCTAAGGGAGGGTCCCCCATCATTTATTCACTCTGCTCTGACAAAAGTGGACTGGTGAGTAGCATTGCGGCTTTCATACAAGAGAACGTGTTCTATAGAAGGGCTTTTGCTCGTGAAAGAGTTTTTCGCGACAGAACCAACCCCCTTGATGCTCATGATTACTCCGAATTGTTCAGGAGATATCGATTTGACAGGAGCGGATTTCTTTTCCTCCCTGCCTTCTTCATAAGGACATTGAGGTAGTTGCTCCCAGAAATCATCACAACTTACCTGCTATTCAAGTCTGTGCTGCTTTGCGGTACTTTGCCACGGGATCTTTTCAAACTGTGTTGAGTGACTATGTAGGAATCTCTCAGCCTTCTGCCAGTAGGATAGTGCGGAAGTTTGCACTTTCCTCGATAGCAAGGCTTCACATATTTGGGTCACTGCCCACTGATGGTCAACTGGCACAAGAAAGGAATGCTTCATATGCCCTTGGTCAATTCCGTGGTGTGATCAATGGTACTCACGTGCAAGTGCAAGCGCCAACAGCGAATGAGGCAGATTATGTCAATCGCAAGGGATACCATTCGATGAATGTCATGTGCGTTTCCAATAGTTCATATGAGATCACATATACAGTGTGTCCCATAAGTCCGGCATCATAGAAAACTTCATATTTTTCTATTTCTACAGGCCAAAATGTGTCTGAGCAAAGAAGAACGAATCCAAATAATTCTACTCATAGGAAATCGGAGTCAAAGAGAGGCCGCTGCTGAATTTAACAGACTGCATCCAGACCGCGAGCCAATGACAGAGTTGTGTTAGCAGACTTGTTGCAAAGTTTAAAGAAACAGGGTCTATAGAAGATAAACAACGCAGTGGACCTTCAAGGAGGTCCACTAACGATGACACTGCGACTGCTATCCTTGCTCATTTTAACAGAAGTGAATAAAAGCTTTTGTTTTGCATTTTTTTATTAGTATTTTTCCTATGATGCCGGACTTATGAGACACTCTGTATATCTGCGCGTTGGCCCGGTAGTGCCCACGATGCCCGGGTACTCCAAAAATGCACTTTGATTCGCCAGTTGCAAAATGGAGAAGCCTTTAGTATCTTGCTTGGAGATAGTGGCCATGCCTGCCGAAAGTTCTTGTTGACACCATACCTGAACCCTGCAGACCGCCAGCAAGTGCAATATAGTAAAACACATAGGAGGACCAGGGTAGTGGTGGAGATGATGTTTGGACAGTGGCAAAGGAGGTTCCACTGCCTACATTCAGAGCTTCGTACGACTCCAGCTAGGGCAAGCACCATCATTATTGCATGCTATCGCCTCCACAACATCGCTAAACGTCGGGGCCTTCCTGATTTCTTTGATGTATTCATGGATGAGCAACCGGATGAAGATCCATATGGCGGTGCCTGCCTAGGTCAAACGGTTGATGGAGTTCATGCAAGGGAGCATGTTACACGGCATTGTTTTTGAAATGCATGCAGCACAAGTGAATGAAGGATTATGTTTCCGTTCATGGAGAAATTCCGACTTTATTTGTTTATTTCAGTTACATGTCACCAGATTGTATACGTTGGCATCAGAATTTGCTGAATTCAATGTTTCCAAGTTTGGAATATGTATTCGGACTCTGTGTAGAATAGTCCAAGTTGACATTCGGCACATGAGAGGAAGCTGGCATTTTGTGTCCAGGGACATCTTGGGATTGCGCCAGTAAACGCTGCTTTTTAAGACGAAGAACCTCGATCTCCAAATTCATCTTTACTTCTTCTCTCGCTAGCACTCGTAGTTTCTACATTGCCACCTTCTTTGCTTCGAGGGTTCTCTGCTGCAGCTCTAAAACCTTTATCTGATTTTCGAGGACTATTTCCTGTGTGTCCATCAATTTCGCTGGCAAAGCTTTCTCCAAACGAGAATGGATTGTTCGAGGTGATTTCCGGCCTTTGTTCTGAGGCCTGCCAAGATCACCATTGCTAGCCGTCATCTGTGCGGGTTTTTGGCCCTTCTCCTGCCTACTGTAAGGGAAATATGATTGTTTTCACCCTTTTGAATCATCTTCATGCAATGAGTTAATATTATTTTTAAAAAAGCACAAACTGAATTTCCTCTGTCTTGAGCTCTGAGAGGGGCAGTTTAAACTGCGGTATCGATTTTGACAGATGCGATTAGTTGATTTTAATCTGATTTTCTGCAGCTTATTATGAGGACAGGGAAATACTCATGCCAGTGCACTCCATGTAAAGTTCTGTCCATGCCATTGTATCCCCTGGAAACCTAGCCACGAGGAAGAAAGCATTGTAGCATAGGAGCTTAAAGGGAGGACACATGACAATGTCCTGAAATAACGCATTTTCTAGTGGTACTAAAGTGAATGAATTTACGAGTTTTACTATTAAAAATTGCTAAAGTAACAAACCTGCAAGAAGGCTGGTCTTCCATTTCCTCTCCATAATCAGAATACTCTTCTGCATATAGCATTGGGACTTCATCCTCCGGCGTTTCCGGGATTGGCACTTCTTTGCTTCTAGTCAGTGCGCTTTCAATGCCGCCAGCTCTCCCCTACAGATGGCGAGTCATCTCCATGGAAACCATCCTCCTTCCCCCAGTACAACTGGGAGAGGGAGGATGGTTTTTGAGGGTGGGGCTAACACCTATTCGAAGTTGAGAGCATAACGTTCGGAATATCGATATAGGCCCATGCCTAAGATTCAAGTTACAAAGTCCGCTTTTCACGTGGACTAAAAGGCCGAAACAAATGTAGTATAATTAGGGAAACTTTCTTAGTTTCGAATAGGCTTGTAAAGAAAATCTAAGAACCGATTGATACTCATCATTTTTTCTAGAGGACTTCTTGCATTTCGCTTTTTAAGCACGAAGTTTTGGGATCGAGTTATGGAATTTCTTTTGCTTGTCATTGACGTCCCTTTTCGGCCCCAGGCCGACAGCGTTGATAGCGTCGTCGATGCGCAACCATGCATGATGCTTGTCTTTAGCAGTACTCTTACCAGACAACTTCGGCCTGAGCACTTTCGCCTCTTCTTGATATTTTATCAGTAGCACCATTTGCTCTTGTTGACTGAAATTGGCCTTTCGCTTGGAAGCCGCCATATGTACACGGAAGGAACAGGGCCGCTCCAAGACCTAACACGTGCCCTGCGTCCCTTAGCACTCTGCTAAGTTAAGCAGTGTGCTAAGACGGATATTGAATGACTGAGGTGAGTACCCTGCTGACCTTAGCAGACACCTTAGCAGGGTTCTAGGCTTTAATAAATGTATTGAATACGGTCCCAGGTCTTCGAAATTAGTTCTCCTCGAAATATGCCCGCAGGGTAAGAATCCCGCAAAAGTCGGAGTTTTCCTGCATTCGGCAACACAGCTATCGTTGTTCCCGTTTCATCGAAGGAAAGATGGTGAGTGGTATAACCCTAAGCCCCCGAATCAACGGTGATTTTCGAAGCACCGGTTTTCATCGTCAACCATTCAAAGGAAGTTCAGCCTGTGTTACCATTAAACCGTCATTGAGTTTCCGTTGAACTCAATCCCACCGGTGGTTCACTGTTGAGTCGCCGCTGACGTTCCTGTACGGGAGCTTACATAACTTTCCTTGGTTCCAATTAATATCACCTAATTACCGATTCTCGGAAGTTCCGATATCCGGTGATGAAAAACTGCCGCAGTCGTTTAGTCATCAGTAGCGCGTTTCTCAAGACTCGTAGGCGGAATTAGCAGGAAATTTCCGAACGGCCTCGTGCATTATTGATCGATGAGGGACTAATGCCCCGTCGTTTTTTTTCATGCTTTCCTGCCATGAGTCATGCAATTACGGGTCCTAACGATCACGACCGTCACAATAAAGAAAGGAGGTGGAATGCCCGCGTAGAAGTGCAGTTGCGAAGTGACAGGTGTGTCATCATCACATCGGAGTCGAGGTGAGTCGAGTCCACGGAATCGTTCAACTGCACGAGCGACACCGAGAATTCTTTCCGACGAAAAACCTTTGGAAATGCAATTATTAATTATCCGATTTTCTCGAGTGCTTCGAGTTTGGCTTCCCCAAAAAGTCCACGCTTGCAGATCATTGTATCGCAGCAGTTGCACGCGTCTCGACTGCATAGGTCTCGTCGACCGATGAAAAGCGAAGAGACATTCCTTCCCGATAGAGCAGAAAAGGAACACCTTTAGCTGAGAAAATTGGGCGTAAATGAAAGAGAAGTCGGCCGTGATCATTCACTTCCTCCACCGCTTCTTCTCGCGCGGAAGGGGAAGCGACGGATCTCTCCTCCCTCCAACTTTCCACTAGCAGATAGAGAGCAGGTATAAAAATCCTCTAAGATAGAAGAGGAAACCCATGTGAAAGGGGGAGAAGGGGGGGGGGGGGGCAGATGATTACAGAAGAATAATGGGATCGCAATAAGGCAGGAAAATTATATCGACTTTCAATCGATTGCCAATTAACGCTATTCTTGTAACCTCTCCAGTTCGTCGATTTCTTATGAAAGAGGATGCCTTGAAATATGCATCGCATTCAGGACGAGAGAGGAATTTCCGCAGTTCATCTTGCAGTGCGCGTGGAGCGAAGCAGCGACAGTCCACGTTTATTCCCGCTTGTGGTGCTAGGATCGCCTGTTTTCGGATTAATCAGAATAGAACAATACTGCTATTAAGTATGTTGGTCTCAATTTATGCTATAGTTCGTTAATTATGCAATAGACCCTTTTTTCCATGGTGTATATTTATGTGGTTATTTGCCTTTCGTGTGTAAGGCAAATAAACGTTGCACGCAAACTTTCATTACCAGAATGACGAAAGCTTGCGTCTGATCATCGAAGGTGAGAACCGGAACTCGTTCGTGCTCAATGGGGAAAACAACACACGAACAATGTGCATAATAAAATGCTCATGCCCTTTTGCCGTTGAACGATTAAATGGGGTTACTCGAGTCTGGATGCTAGGAGACTCGTGTATGCAAATGTAGGCTTATATAAATATTTCTTTGATCGATAGTCGGTCGACACCGGACCCTGGACTGACGACTTCTTCAACTCGGAGATGTCCCTTTTCACGACCGTGGTCGTCGCGTGTAGTATCCTCATCGCATCAGCGGGGGACATTCGGGATCGCGTCCTGTCGTGGCTCGACGAGGAACTGGGAACAACGTGCGAGCCGATTCTCCTGCTTTGTCCGGGGGACGTCCGTGGGTATAAGATGATCGGTGAGGGTCGTGGAGCCTATCGGGTGTGGGAAGTGGGCTTCCGGTGGGCCGCTGACGAAGATCGGGTTTCGTGCACCGTTTTCGTCCTTTCCGACGAGTGCCTCGTCGAGGGCGTGAATGCGACGGAGGGCCTCGGTCTGCGACAGGGATCATACGTTCCCGATTACGTTGTCGTCTTCGTGCAGGGATCGGGGCGATTGCAGGATGTGTACTCGAGATTCATCGCAGGGTTGGACGAGTTTCTCTGGAACCGGGTTTTCGTATTCGTGGCGACTCAGATGCCGATTCGGTTATACACTCCCTGTGTCTTCTGCTTTCAACGTCGTTTTCGTCTTCTTTCGGAATTCGACACCGTGGACGACGTCGAGGACCTGGGAAGGTTTCTGTTTCGCAATAGAGTGCGGGACTTCCAAGGACGGGCATATCGCATCGGCATCTTGGAATTCAATCCCTGGGTCATCCAGATCGGACCCAGCGGAGTGTTCCATCAGGACGGATACGAATACCGCATCGCCATCGAACTGTCCCACCTACTCAACTTCTCTATCGCTCTCCACCAAACGGCCGACTTGATATGGGGCGTGGAATACGACGGTGAGGGGAAGCCCATCGGATTGATAGGCGACGTGTTGACCGACACGGTGGACTTCGCGATGAGCGGGCTTCAGGTCACTGCCGAATCGGCGGCGTTGGTGGACTTCACCCGATCGGTGGGTCAGGACTGCCTGTCCATCTTGACGAGGCCCGCCAGACCCATCCCGGCGTGGAAGAACATCTTCTTCCCATTCCAACCGTCTGCGTGGGCGCTCATCTTCGCCTCTAGCATCCTCGCTACGGTTGGACTCAGTCTGTTCAACAACCTCTGCCCCTACAGGAGAAGGAGGATGACGTTCATGTACAGTTGGTTGCAGACCGTTCAGGCCGTGTGTGGGCAGAGCTTCGATCTGAGGATTGGGGGAAGCTCGACGAGAGTGTTTTGGGCGGCGTTCACGCTCGTCTGCATCGTGTTGATGGCGGGGTACAATTCCGCCTTGGTCTCGTTCCTCAGTTTTCCGATCTTCATTCCCACCGTGGATTCCCTCGAGGACCTGCTCGCCAGCGACCTGAGCTACGGCAAGGTCGACTACGGAGATGGCGTGGATCGCGTTCTCGAAACCTCAGAGCATTACGTAAAGTTCCGAGAGCGACTCGACCACATCAAAATGAACAAGGATTGGTACTCCTTCGAACCCCTGGAAGAGTACTTCACATCCCACAACGACGAGGTGGCTTTCATTGAGCTCAGAAGCGACGCCAAGGGCATCGTGATCCGGCGAGGGAAAGAAAAATTCCGCCTCGCCCCCAAATTTTTTTTCTGTGTCGAGGTGGCTTGGGCCTTCCAGAAGAAAAGTCTCTTGATGGAGTCGATAGACGCCTACCTGCAGCGTTTCAGGGAAGTCGGTCTTCTGGACAGATGGTTCAAGGTCTCGTTCGAACTCGCTTACAATCAGACCCAGCTGAACGAGTACTACGAGAAGGACACCACGACGAGAGTGAGTTTCGGTCTGTACCACCTCCAGGGAGCCTTCTACCTGTGGGCCTTCGGGATGGCTCTGTCGGCCGGGGCCTTCGCGGGGGAGGTCCTCGCCGGTCTCAAGAGGCGCAAGGCCCGAAAGGCGGATGGCGAGTCGTTCAGGATTTTAAAAGGATATTAATGTTGGTTCCCTGGGAACGACTGAAAAATGAGGCTACAGAAGCGCAAGCGAAGAACGTGTGAAAATAATTGGAGGTTCCGAGTTACTCACTCTCAGTGTGACGGCACTCTCAGCGAGGACTCCGTTAAGATCGAGATGCTGTCAGAAAAACTTTCTCTGCTACAGTTTTGTTATTTAATTATTCTTGGCATAGGTTTATTGTAATTACAATTAGTAGCCATTCCATTAGTCGTTGTGAAGAGTCAAATGTCGTAATAGCTGGAAAAATTCGCGATCGTACCAATTTCGATATTTATTGTGCCTCGTGACGCGAAAAAACCGGACGCGAGAAAACCTTTCTATGTCGTAATTGTTTACTCTGGCTCTTTGTGTCAATACAAATGCCATCATGATAGTACGGACGCACTAGACAGCCCTTAATAAAACACGGGAAATTTTTTAAAATGGAGTTATGTTATTATTTTATTCATGTTTTTTTGCGGACGAACGAATGGCCTGAGATTATTTCCTTGATCAATAAAAAAAATCACATGAAATTCTATCTTTCCAGGAAGTTGGAACAGTGCAAGCGTGTCACGATGTCTTTTTCGTGTCATTGGGCCTGGTGATATCCTACAAGACTTGTCGCGAATTAAGTAAGGACATGATCCTGAAAATATCCATGGAAATTGGGAAACCCTTCAAACCTGAATGGAAAGTAAAGGACACGGATTCGCTTGCTCGAAAATGTCTGCATTAACTCTGCGAAAATTCACTGAAAATGTACTGCTGCAATGCGCTTGCAACTGATGTATGAGCCTAACAAAATGTGAGAGGAAAATTTACCGGTACAAACCGTGTTATCATGGAGTCTGAAAAATGTACTGGCCAAAATGCGCGACGGTGAGCATCCCGATTTACGTTTTCTTAATTTTCTCCATCATACACTGCGAAAACCTCTTAAGGAGACGACATTAATTCCTTTCTTACTGCTTTCTTATAGATTTGAAAAAGGACGATTTCTTATTTTTTCCTTTAAAGCCATTTTTCGTACTTTCATGACATTTTGCATGCGCAAGTGGAATAATGTGTTATATCCTGTAATAATTGATAAATTGTACAAATAACATATGAAATGAACTTTATTCCAAGTACTTTGCAAACGTTCATAAACCAAACCCTAAAATACCTGTAATTTTTGCCTTTGAAAAGTTGCCCTGTCAAAAGTTCTGGAACTGCTCCAGTCATCCCTTACGGAAATGTCCTATAGGAAACCTTTAGCTATTTCTTATAGGAAACCTATAGACTTTCCTATAGGTTTTTGAAACACGAAAAACCTATAGGATCCTTTAGAATCCTATAGGATCCCTATAGG